GAACAAATGGGAACTAATAAAACTTAAAAGCTTTTGCATAGCAAAGGAAAGTATAAAAAAGACGAAAAGACAACCCTCAGAATAGTTGCAAATGAAGAAACTGACAATGGATTAATCTCCAGAATATACAAGCATCTCATGCAGCTCAATATGAAAAGAACAAACAACCCAATCCAAAAATGGGCAGAAGACCTAAACAGACATTTCTCCAAAGAAGATATACAGATCACCAACAAACACATGAAAGGATGCTCAACATCACTAATCATTAGAGAAATGCAAATCAAAACTACAGTGAGGTGTCACTTCACACCCGTCAGAATGGCCATCGTCAAAAAATCTACAAACAATAAATGCTGGAGAGGGTGTGGAGCAAAGGGAACTCTCTTGCACTGTTGGTGGGAATGTAAATTGATACAGCCACTATGGAGAACGGTATGGAGGTTCCTTAAAAAACTAAAAATAGAAGTACCATACGACCCAGCAATCCCACTACTGGGCATATACCCTGAGAAGACCATAATTCAAAAAGAGTCATGTACCAAAATGTTCACTGCAGCTCTATTTACAATAGCCAGGACATGGTAGCCACCTAAGTGTCCATCGACCAATGAATGCATAAAGACGATGTGGCACATATATACAATGGAATATTACTCACCCATAAAAAGAAACGAACTTGGGTTATTTGCAGTGAGGTGGATGGACCTAGAGTCTGTCATACAGAGTGAAGTAAGTCAGAAAGAGAAAAACAAATACCGTATGCTAACACATATATATGGAATCTAAAAAAACAAAAAGAGTTTTGAAAAACCTAGGGGGCAGGACAGGATAAAGACACAGACGTAGAGAATGGACTTGAGGAGATGGGGAGAGGGAAGGGTCAGCTGGGACGAAGTGAGAGAGTGGCATGGACAAATATACACTACCAAATGTAAAACAGACAGGTAGTGGGAAGCAGCCACATAGCACAGGGAGATCAGCTTGGTGCTGTGTGACCACCTAGAGGGGTGGGATAGGGAGGCTGGGAGTAAGGTGCAAGAGGGAGGAGATATGGGGATATATGTGCATGTATAGCTGATTCACTTTGTTATAAAGCAGAGACTAACACACCATGGTAAAGCAATCATACTGCAATAAAGATGTTAAAAAAAAGGGAAAAAGGCAAAGCATTTGTAACAGAAATAACTCTGAACTTGGAGCCAGAAGATCAAGTCCTAGTTCAGGCATTTTTTTAACTCTGACTCTCAGACTTTGATTTCTTTAAATGTATAAAGAATGGGCTGTATTAAAAAATTTCCAAAATTACTTTTGTTTTAAAAGAAATGATCAAGTGTAAACAGATAGAGAGATATACCATGTACTTGTATTGGAAGAATCAATATTGTGAAAATGACTATACTACCCAAAGCAGTCTACAGATTCAATGCAATCCCTATCAAATTACCAATGGCAGTTTTTACAGAACTAGAACAAAAAAATCTTAAAATTTGTAGGGAGACACAAAAGACCCCTAATTGCCAAAGCAATCTTGAGGGAAAAAAACGGAGCTGGAGAAATCAGACTCCCTGACTTCAGATTATACTACAAAGCTACAGTAATCAAGATAGTTAGTATGGTTCTGGCAAAAAAAATAGAAATATACATCAATGGAACAGAATAGAAAACCCAGAGATAAACCCACACACCTATGGTCAACTAATCTATGACAAAGGAGCCAAGGATATACAATGGAGAAAAGACAGTCTCTTCAATAAGTGGTGCTGGGAAAACTGGACAGCTACATGTAAAGGAATGAAATTAGAACAATCCCTAACAGTATATACAAAAATAATCTCAAAATGGATTAAAGACCTAAATGTAAGACCGGACACTACAAAACTTTTAGAGGAAAATATGGGAATAACAGTCTTTGACATAAGTCACAGCAAGATCTTTTTTGACCCACCTCCTAGAGTAATGGAAATAAAGACAAAAAGAAACAAATGGGGCGTAATGAAACTTAAAAGCTTTTACACAGCAAAGGAAAGTATAAACAAGACAAAAAGACAACCCTCAGAATGGGAGAAAATATTTGCAAACGAATCAACAAAGGAGTAATCTCCAAAATATATAAACAGCTCATGCAGCTCAATATTAAAAAAACAAACAACTCAATCAAAAAATGGAGAGAAGACCTAAATAGACATTTCTCCAAAGAAGACATACAGATGGCCAAGAGGCACATGAAAAGCTGCTGAACATCACTAATTATTAGAGAAATGCAAATCAGAACTACAGTGAGGTATCACCTCACACTGGTTAGAATGGGCATCATCAGAAAATCTACAAACAGCAAATGCTGGAGAGGGTGTGGAGAAAAGGGAACCCTCTTGCACTGTTGGTGGGAATGTGAATTGATACAGCCACTATGGAGAACAGTATGGCGGTTCCTTAAAAAACTAAAAATAGAACTACCATAGGACCCAGAAATGCCACTACTGGGCATATACCCTGAGAAAACCATAATTCAAAAAGACACATGCACCCCAATGTTCATTGCAGCACTATTTACAATAGCCAGGTCATGGAAGCAACCTAAATGCCCATCAACAGATGAATAGATAAAGAAGATGTGGTACATATATACAAAGCAATATTACTCAGCCATAAAAAGCAACGAAATTGGGTCATTTGCAGAGACATGGATGGACCTAGAGACTGTCATACAGAGTGAAGTTAGAAAGAGAAAAACAAATACTGTATATTAACACATATATGTGAAATCTAGAAAAATGTTACAATGAACTGGTTTGCAAGGCAGAAATAGAGACACAGATGTAGAGAACAAACGTGTGGACACCAAGGGGGGAACACGGAGGGCAGCGGTCGGATGAATCGGGAGATTGGGATTGCCATATATACACTAATACGTATAAAATAGATAAGTAATAAGAATCTGCTGTATAAAAAATAAAATTAAAAAAACAAAAAGCAAAGAAAAAAAGAAATGATCAAGTGTGTATATATATCAATATATGCTGAGTAGAAAAATTAGAAAATACACACAGTAAAATGAAGGAAAAAAATCACTACAATTCCACCACTTAGCAATAACTACTGACATTTATTGATGTATATTGTTCCATATTTTATGCATATGTTATATAAAAACTATTTTATAATCATCCTCTTTTAACGTAAACATTTTTCATCATTCCTTCCACATCTATGAACGTACTCCTATATTTTCACTATTTGAAATAGTCACATGGTGTTCTATTACATAAATGTTTCATAATTTAATCAATCCTGGGCTTCCCTCGTGGCACAGTGGTTAAGAATCCGTCTGCCAATGCAGGGGCACGGGTTTGAGCCCTGGTTCGGGATGATCCCACATGCCGAGGAGCAACTAAGCCCGTGCGCCACAACTACTGAGCCTGCACTCTACAGCCTGCAAGCCACAACTACTGAGCCCTCGTGCCACAACTATCAAAGCCCGGACGCCTAGAGCCCATGCTCTGCAACAAGATAAGCCACCGCAATGAGAAGCCCACGCACGACAACGGAGAGTAGCCCCCGCTCGCCACAACTAGAGAAAGCCTGCATGCAGCAACGAAGACCCAACGCAGCCAAAAAAAAAACCGATAATAATAATAATAATAAGTTAATCAATCCTTTATTCATAGAAATTGAATTTTTTTTCCTTCTAGTTTTAAAACACTGCTCGAAGGAGTAGGCTTTTAACTGAATCTCTGCATGTATCCTTAAACATTTTCCTACAGTACATTCCTGGAAGTAGAATATTCAGGTCAAAAGACATGAAGAATTTGAAAACTTAAAGTAAACAAGTATTACCAAGCTATACTCCGCAAAGGATTGTTTTAATATATACTATTTCCAGCAGCATATGAGGAAACCCACTTCCCCACACTCTCATCAACACAAGGTTGTATCAGTTTGAAGCTTGCTGCCATTTTCTGAGGGAAAAATACCATCTCATTTATTGTTCTAATTTCTATTAATTTGATCACTGTAATTGGACATTTTTCGTATGTTCACTGCTATATATATATATATATATATATATATATATATATATATATATATATATATATATCCCTTTAAGAATGTCCTGTGCACCCCGTTTGCCAGTTCTCCTACTGATATACTTCTTTTCCCTTTTGACTTTTTAGAGCTTTTTATAAGTTAAGGGTATTAACGCTGCGTCTGTCACATAGTTTGTGAAATTCTTCCTGATCCCAGCTTATTGGCTGTTTTTAGATTCTGCTTATGCCATTTTTTTCTCTCTGACATAAATGATTTTAAAGTTTCTATTATTTAGAGCTAAAAATCTGTTTCAAAATATGTTTTCTGATTCTGGTATTAGTGATAAAAAGTCATTCCTTAACACCCATGATTATAAAACTATTGATTTATAAACTTTCTGTAAAATGAGATTTTATTTTTTGTCATCCAAATCTAAAAATACTTATGAAAAATTTGAATCTAATTCTCATTAAGTATCAATTTCATAAAAGTGTACGCGATAGAGCTTAACATTTTCACTTTCAGCAGACAAACTTCACTTGTAGTAATAGAGAAAACAGAGGCCGCCTTCTTCAGAAAGTCCTTTCCTGTCCTTCTTACACTTTATCTCTCACCAGAAAACATCATCATTCAAACTCATTTTGTCTCACTTGCCTGTCTCAGTGGAAAAAGTAGCGCCACCTTCTTGTTTCAAATTCTACTCTTTTAATTATTCTCCTTATCCTATACCTTGACTGGCTCTTCTCAAGGGGCTCTTTGCTCTGGGGTTATAAATATTCTTGTCATTCCCTCCTGTATAAAGATCTTCCTTACATCCTGTGTTTTCCACTAGTTTCTGCACAGCTTTTTCTTTCCTTTGAAGTCCAACTTCTGGGAGAAGCAGCCTCTCCTGACGGGCCTTCTCCCTACGGGCTGGAGACAATCTGACTCATGCTTCCAGGACCCTCCATTCAAAACCATCTTCTCCCAGGTCACAAACAGCCTCTTGGCTGCAAATCCCAAAGGCATTTCTCAGCCCTTATTTTACTTCTGCTGTCTTTGATACTTGTCCTTGTTGACCATGCCTTTCCTAAACCTTCCTGTTGACTCCGTGACATGACTGTCTCCTGGTTTCCTCTTACCTCTATGAGGGTGACTTTCCGGCCGGTTTGCTCGTTCTCCTTCCCCTGCATATCCATGACGTGTCTGCGGTCCTCAAGGCTCTGTTCTCTGCCCACCTCAGAACTGCAGGAGGGGAAGATTGGAGACAAGAAGCCAGTGAGAAAGCTGCTACAACAGCTCAGATGGGGCTCGGATTTAGGGAAGTGGCAGTGGGAATAAAAAGGGGAGATAAATGGGAGGATCTGAGAGAAAAATATTCGACAGATGATATGAGCGATTATATATGTGGGTGGGCAGCAGGGAGTCACTGAAAATAACGTAGAGACAATAAACCTTAGCTGGTTTGGCTCCTTTTTACTGTATGAAGGGACAAGAATAAAATACATTTTACTTCTTTCAGAAAAATATTAGCTGCCTGGGAAAAACCAGGAAGTTTTTATCAAATTAAATAGAAGAAAAGCGTGTGTGTGTGTGTGTGTGTGTGTGTGTGTGTGTGTGCAAAAGAGCAGGAGATTCCTTACTGACAAAGAAGGGGTGAAGGGGTGAAAGAAGGGGTGAAGTTTATGCATAAGAAAACAGTGATATCCTGACATGTGGGATGGGGAATGCAGCTTTTCAAATGATTCAATAGTAACAGTAACATAGAAAACAAATATTTTGTGGATGAGTGTTTAGTAATTCAAGTTATGTTAGAAAAAAGAAAATACAAAAACAATGAAAAAAGGGAAATTCAAAGAATGGAAGGCAGTGTCCCCTTTCTAGGATGTCTAGGAATGGTGGGAGACATCACAACAGAGCTTGAAAAAGGTACAAGAATTTCAAAATCAGGCAATAAGGAGGACTGAACAGTGACTGCTGTGGACTGAATTGTATTCTTTCACAGGTTGAAGCCCTAACCCCTAAAGCGAATATATCTGGAGATCGGGCCTTTAAGGAGGTAATTAAAGTTAAAGGAGGTCATAAGGGTGAGACCCTAAGCTACAGGACTGGGGTCCTTATAAGAAGAGGAAGAGACACCAGAGAGCTCTTTCTCTCCACACATGCACAGAGGAAAGGCCATGTGAGGACACAGCAAGAAGCTGGCCACCTGCAAGGCAGGAAGAGAGGCCTCACCAGAAACCAGCCCTGTTGGAACCTTGATCTTGAATTTCCAGGCTCCAGAACTATGAAAATAATACATTTACATTGTTTAAGCCACCCAGTCGGTGGTACTGTTACAGCAGCCCGAGAAGACTAATATGGAGATGTCTAAGTAAGTAAAATGAAGTCAGATGACTGAGAAGGAAAAGGGTCAGAAGCTACAAAGATGAAAGAACAAATAAAGTACGTCTAGAAAGGAGGAAAATGATGAGAGAGAAAGGAAAAGTTGAGTTCTGAAGCAAAAAGCATCGATAACTTACTGCCTATCTCCAGGGAACCTACACCTTAGCATTAAAGTAAAAATGCAAATGTCTGTGGATGCCAGGGTGACAAGGAGAGCGAGGAAAGCAAGCCAGGAATAATACAGCAGGACCCTGGTAAATTGGAGAGTGGATGACTCATCTTAGGAAGGAGACCACTAACTCAGCTCCAGTGGATGGAAGCCAGCAAAGAATGTGGAACTGTGGTCCAGAACCTCAAAAGAAATAAGAAATCTACATTTATGTGAAATCTTTGTATTTGGGCAACTGGTAAGATTATAGACACAGTGGACCTGGACTGTATCTTGCTGCCAGGCCCAATTTAAAAAAAAAATATATATATATTTTTGGTCTGTGCATTCCCCCACCCTGTAGAGTACCCTGCTAGTCTCAGGGCATTCCAGGCACTTTCATGCAATTGTGCCTTAGCTCCTGCCATCCTTCTGACTTCTAGGTCCTTTTCTTTTTGTTCACCCTGTCTCTACATGGTTTTTAAGACTTAAATGCTATCTTACATCTTTGGCTTTCCCTGATCACTGTGGGAAAATCAGACCATGTGATCCTCTCCACCTTTTCTTTCTCATAATGTACATATGATCTAACAGAAAGCTACCCTGAAAAATACAACATCTGGACTTTTGCTTGCATCCAAGAGGAAGTAACAGGGACTAGATTTACCGCTCACCTAAAACAACCAAAAAAACTGGGCAAAACATATGAAATAATTTTCAAGACACTGAATCCTAAGCAACAAAGGAAAGTGATACCCAAGAAATGGAAAATAAATGAGATGAGCCCTATGACTGCCCAGCTTACTGCCTTGAGAGCTTCCAGGCCACAGCACAGGGGGATGGAGACTGTGTGGAGCCTGGCGGGCTCCCTGAGTGAGTGCTAGGAGTCTGAGGAGACCAGGTAGGCTATAGTTCACAGACTACCAGAGAGGAGACAGCTTCAGAGTGAGAGAACTTGGAGACCTGCAAAGGTTCTCTTCAAGTATTCAGCAGAATACAGGTGAGAATACACAGCGGAGGAAATCTCCCGAGGCCAGGGACAGTACCTATTCCCATCAGCCAAGATGGAAAACCTCACAACTCAGAACGCATTGGGTAGAATACCCAAAAGGGATTTGTATCAGTAGTGAGGAATAATTAGCCCTAGACTAAACACAGTTCTAGTCCCACCTAACAAATCTAGAAAAAGAAGCAAAAATTAAACACCAAAGAAGCAGAAATAAAGATCAGAGTGGAAATCAATGAAACAAAATAAATAAACAATAAAGAGAAATCAACAAAACAAAGCTGTTCTTTTCAATAAAATTGATAAACCACTTGCCAGGCTGACTGAGGTAAACAGAGTAAAGAAATAAATGATCAACACTAGGAATTAAAGAGACAACATTATTACAGATTCTTTCAATATTAAAAAGATAATGAGGGAATATTATGAACAACTTTATGCCAACGAATTCAACCACTTGGATGAAATGGACAAGTTCCTTGAAAGATACAAATTATCAATGCCTATATAAGAAGAAATAGATAACCTTAATAGCTCTACTTCTATTAAACAAATTGAACTTGTAGTTAAAAATCTTCCATAAAAGAATACGTCAGGCCCATATAGCTTTACTGGTGAGTCTACACAACATCTGAAGAAGAAATAGAGTGACATCAGTAAAAACGGTGGGGTAAGGACTTCTGAAAAATTTCTCCTCCAAAACTGGCAAGCACGGTTAGAATCAACTTTTTTAGATTCTGGAAATTAGCCAATAACTTGTAGTAACTCGGAGAATGTTTATTCAAGAAGAATGGTTGACACTCGGTAAGAACAGTGAGCTTTGTGGCATTTTAACTTACCTTATCCCATCCCCACTGTCTGGCTCTGTGGGTACCTTGAAAAAGAAGAGCCTGCGTTTATGGTGAAAGCCAGCAACCTGGCATCCACTGGAAGGAGCAGAACAGGGCTGGAGCTCTTTCAAAGCCTCATTCCCAAGGAATTGTCATTATCTGACCTGTTTGGTGGTTTCCTGGAAGACACCACTTGTAAGGCTGTCTGCATTTGACTTATCTTAGAGCTTGCCTTTTCCCTGGGAGGCAATTACAATTAACTTCAGGGCTGCCTGAGTGGTGGAAAACAGTAGGCAAACAACAGACTAACTAAAAGCTTTAAAGGAAAAGCTGGGGGAATAAGCTGTCCATGAGGGTTTTGAAAAGCTCAGACTTAGTCCTGGGAGTCTAGACGGTCTTACACATGTGTAGAGCTGTGTGCATGCACAGGAAAGACCTGAGAAGGCCTTAAGCCCTCACCGCTGGCTGACCTTAACACTCTATGCTAACAGGAAGTGAAGGCTAAGACAGAGGTGTCAACTGCCTGGCTGGGTGTTGAAGGTGTGCACAGCACACACAGAGCCCCTACCTGGCAAGACTGGGGGACCTACTGGTTCCAGGTGTTTAAGGAAATCAGTTTCCAATTATTAGCTGATCACTAATCTAACTGAGCAAAGACTCCTGTGGACAAACACATTACAACTAAAGAATTAAAGAATTTGTTCAGAGAAGTTAACAAACAACAAACAACTACAATAAGTAGCAACAACAACAAACCCCGGGGAGGGGGAAGGATCTAATTTCCAGAATTGTCACATTATATCATTCAAAATATCCAGTTTTCAATAAAAGGTTACAAGACATGCAAAGAAACAAGAAAGTATGCACCATACAAGGGAAAAAGCAATCAACTGAAATGGTCCCTTAGGAAGCCCAGACATCGGACTTTCTAGACAAAGACTTGAAATCCACTATTATAAATACATTCAAAGAACGCAAGAAAACCATACTTAACTAACAGGAAGTATGGGAACAACATCTCATCAAATAGAGAATATCAATAAATAAACAGAAATTACAAAAGGAAAAAGTAATATCATATCCTCACAGACTGCTCCAGAAAACTGAAGAGGAGGGAATTCTTCTTAAGAATGGCATTCCATGAAGCCAGCTTACTCTGATAGCAAAACCAGACTAAGACAGTACAAGAAAATAAAACTACAGACCCATATTTCTCTTGAACAAAATATAAACAACTCTAAATAAAATTTTAGCAAATCAAGTCCACCAATTTATAAAAAGGATAACACACCATGACTAAGTGGGGTTTATTCAAAGAATGAAAAGTTGGTTTAACATTTGAAAACCAATGTAATTTACCATATTAGCACATTTACAAAGAAAAATCGTATGATTATCTTAGTAGGTGCAGAACAAGCATTTGACAAAAATCCCACAACCATTCCTGATACAAACTCTCAGCAAACTAGGAAATGAAGGAATAAAGGGCATTTATTAAAAAACCTATGATGATGTACTTAGTGGTGAAAGACTGAATGCTTTCCCACTCACTTCCGTTCAGGACAAAAGAAGATGAGAATGTATACTCTCATCATGTCTATTCAACATTGTACTGGAGGTTCTAGCCAGTGCAGTAAGGAGGGAGGGAGGAAAGGCATCCAGATTGGGAAAGAAGAAACTAAACTGGCTTTTATATTGTATGACTGTCTATATAGAAAACCTGGTGAAGTCTACCAAAAAGTTATTAAAACTAATAAGACAGTTTGGTAAGGTAGCATGATACAAGATCAACATACAACAACTAGTAGTATTCCCATAAATTAGCAACAAACAATTGCAAATTGAAATTGAAAATTAATACCATTTACCAATGAGATATGCAGGAATAAATCAGCCAAATATGTGCAGGACTTATACGCTGAAAACTAACAAGCAGTGTTGAGAGAAATTAAAGAAGTCCTAAATAAATGGAGAAATATTTCATGTTAATAAGTCAGATGACTGAATATTGTCGACATGTCAGTTCTCCCCAAACTTATCTTTGGATTCAAGGTAATACAAGTTGGGATTCCAGAAGCCTATGTTGTAGAAACTGAAAAACTTATTCTAAATTGATGAGGACATACAAAGGACCCTGAATAGTTAAACCGACTTTAAAAAAGGACAAGACTGGAGGACCAATAATACCTGATTCCAAGACATATTATAAAACTACAGTAATCAAGACCATGTGTTACTGGTGTAAAGACAGAAGTAGATCAATGGATAAGAATATGTCCAGACACAGACCTGCCCTTATAATGACAATTGATTTTCAATGAAGGTGTAAAGACCATTCAGTTGAGACATGGCTATTTTTTCAACAAATGATGCTAGAACAACTGGATATCCAAATGCAAACAAAACAAAACAGAATCCTCTGATCCAAACCTCACATCATATACAAAAATTAACACAAAACAGATCATACACTTAAATATGAAACCAATTTGAATTATAAAACTTTTACAAGAAAACACAGGAGAAAACCTTTGTAACTTTGGCAAAGGTTTCTTAGATTCTATACTAAAGCATGACATATAAAAGAAAAAAACTGACAAATTGGACTTCATCAAAATATAAAAAAGTTTGCTTTTCAAAAGCTACTGTTAAAAGAATGAAAAGGCATAACAGAGACCGGGAGAAAATATCCGCAAATCATGTATCTGATAAAGAACATATTTAGAATATATAAGGAACTCTGTGATGTCACACACCTGACAATGGATAATTTTGATTTCAGAAAGGGCGGGGAATGGGAGGAGGAGAAAAAGGCTGAAAGGCGAATAATCAAAAGAAATTTCTTTAAAAAGTTGCAAGTCGTAGGGTATTTTAGGGGAAAAAGGTAAACTAATTTCTTCTCATGAAAAGAAGAAGAAATTGAAGAAGTCTGGAATAGGATTATTACAAAGACGGAAAAATATATAGTGGAGGAGAGATCGGGTACTTGGAGTTAACACTTATGGCTGCACTACATTAAGAAGAGATTGCATTCATTCATTCATTCAGTTCACATATGAGTGTTCACAAATAAAGGCCTTTAATATTATTGACCATCTGAACTAACTTCTCTCTGACCAAACCTGTTAATGAAATAAAACATTCTATGTTTAAAAAAAAAAAACCCAACAAACTCAAGATAAAATATATTAGTAACTAGGGAACACTAATACTAATTACGGATTATAACATATTTGTAGAAGCTTCATTACAAACTCTGACTTGGGCAGCAGATCATAACATCATATAGGGGCATGAGATGTAAAAGGTAAAAGTTTCAGACTTTCAAGAAAATGTCTTTAAATTAACCTACAAAAGTTTCTTCTTGGTATCTTTTTAAGATAAGAGAGTGTAGCTTTATTAAAATGTGTAAAAATTGTTTGCACAGAAGTGATTGATATTTCTGAAAAAAAATTAAAAAGTATAAATGAGACAAGAAATTCAAGTGGAAAGTGGTGAGAGGCAGTCCTATGTGGCTCACTTACAAAATTTGGTCAACCAACTAATGAGCAGATGTTAGTAACTGAATGGCAAGGCTGCAAAGAAACAAAAAAATTAGCCTCTATCCATTTACTTGGGTACAATGGACTCATTTAAGTAAATTAGAGAAATAAAGAAATGACATACTGGGCTATAGTATTCCCACCTTTAACTTGCCTACAGTTCTTTTTTTTTTTTTTTTGAGAAATGTATCTTAATTCATCCTTACTTCTAAGAAATTATGAGTACAGGGAAAGCCCAAAGGCTTTAGATGAACTTGAGCATTCAGACATATCTGAACTTCTCATGAAAATTTATTTTCAGAAGCTTCTTAAGCGCTCTATGTTCAAAAAGAGAAGCCAAGCTACCCTGAAAGCCTTAGAAACAAGCTGGGATGGTTTTTGAGGCTTTTTTGAATTTTAATCTGGAGAGCATTGTGTGGATCTCTCTGTCACCTGAAAATACGTATCCAAAGTAGTCAGAGCGACTACAGAACCTTTCATTCACATATTAGATAAAAAGTTCTAAAAAATTTTATAAAAATGTTCATAGAGAGGACTGTTCCCCTAATGTATTAAAACATGGTCATTTTTGATTGTTGAAACAGAGTTTGTCCTCACTGATCCAGCGTATTTTTTACGTGGATGATCTGTCACTGAGTATACTCCTCAGAGCCAGTTATTATGTGATCAACTATTATGTACAATTTCAATTGTTCAGAGATCGGAACTGAAAACATACCTGGCAGATATAACAAAAACAAAAAACTGAAAGACCTGGGATGTGTATTTGTGTCGTGTGACAGGCAGAGAGAAAGCATGGAAACAACAGCAGATTGGGAAACACAGGATCTGTGTTCTGGTACTGGGTCTGCCTCTTACTACCTCCCTCAGATCATGTTTCTCCACGTGCAAAAGAGGGGTCAGAGCAGTGGTCTGCAGGGAAATGGGGAGACTCAAATGTGATAATGTGAGTGACTGTGCTCTGATGTAATACAGGGCTATATATAATCAAATAATCATCAATATAATTTTATCTCTCAAAAAGAAAGATTTTTTAAACTTACAAAAAAATGGCATCTTACCAAGGAGCCTAATAACTCTGAATATAGTATAAAAAACAAACACACACACACCCTGGTAGTCTGAGAATCAGGAGACTTAGGTCTTGCTTGGTTCAAGCGCTGACATAAATGTGCCTTTGTGACATTTGCACAAGGTCTTTCCTCTTAGTTTTCCTGAATGTAAAACAGAGGGAATGTAGAATTTCTAAGGGATCTTCTAGGTCATGATTCTGTGACTCTTAATAATACCATTTAAAAATTTTATTTGTCTTTCATCTGTAGAATGAAATATTATAAAATAATACACGGTTTTATCTGATAATTCCTGTAAATTAGAGTGTCATTTAAATCAGAATTTCTGAACTGGAAGAGACATATTCTAAATGTCAAAGTGCATAGCAGGGTTAACGAATAAATATTGGGTTGGCCCAAAAGTTCATTCGGGTTTTTCTGTAAGACATTATGGAAAACCCTGAACTTTTGGGCCAACCCAATATTTTCCTGAAGGACATTCAGCAGGGATTCTCTGTGTGCACATGTGTGTAGGCATGCACCCAATGTGGGGACAGTGGCAGTGGGATGGGAGGGCACAGCAGACACCTGAGCTGTTCAAGGTTGTTACACTCATGTGATAGTTTGCTAGTGATGTGTGAATATGAAGTCAAGGCTTCAGATTATGTACAAAATCATCTGCAATGATAAAAATTGAGAAGTGCTTTGCAAAGGTTTTCGGTATTTTTTTTTTTTTTTGAGGTAAGAGAGATTTTCTATTTATGTTATTAAGTAATATAGCAAGTATCAAAAAAATACAAAAACTTCCTAGAGATCTTTTAAAATAAATACTTCAAAAATTGCTCATCTACCTTAGGTATTTCTAAGACATACAATGATAATGTTCTGGGTATTAGCTTTTTTTCTTTAATGCCTCAAAATAGGCACTTCATAATTTTTTTTAGTGTGGTATTATGAAGAGGGAAATGGATAAATTATCCTTAAAAAAAAAAACAAAAACAAAAACTATTTATCACTGCAAATTATTTAGGAGGAAAAGCTGCTTACTGTGTCATAGACTCTGAGCCCGGTCTGAAATCCTGGGACTTGAATGACTGCTGTGAAAGAAGAACAAAGAGTAAATCACAAATCACAGAAGACAACACAGGCAACATTCACATGCTGAAAACCCACCAACTAGATGAATGAGGAGAGAGCATGCCTGTTCTGAACACAAGTGTCTATCAGCATGTCTATCACAAGTGTCTATTCACTCCCATGGAAAACCAAGGAAACAGCTCTCTGGATTGGTTAAGCGCTCTTCATAAAGAAAGTGAGCTTTCAGGTGTGTGGCAAAAAGAGTCAGTTGTGAGTCAGCCTAAATTAATTCAGTAATACTATGTTATATTACTTAAGTTCTAAATTTACCTTTCAACACTGCATCTTTCCTTTGTAATTCTGTCAGTACACTGTATTTTCATGGTGTTACTCACTGAACTATGTGTAAAATTTTGAATCTGCAAGCTCTTTACATCTTCTACAAAATTTGCTTAGTATATCTGTTTTATTAATGGCACCTCCATGAGAAAATCAAATAAGCACTTTCAGTGGTGCCAGATTATACTCTGAGTGTTAGACGGTTCCTCTAGAGTTTGAACATTAATTCCAAATGAAAGGATACTGTGGAAAATGGTGGTTGATATGAGACAGTAGTTTAGAAATCAACTTAATCTTGCTATAAGACAGACTTGCAAATTTTTTTTTTTACAGATAATTACATGTTATGGAAAGGATCTACTTAAAATTCACATAGAAAATATAAATCACTACTATGTTAAAGTTTTGAATTACATACAAATGAAAGAGATATACCACATCTACCTAATTAAAATTTTAAAACCCCAGAAAACAAAAAGCCAAAATGAAACGAAAGACAAGGAGTACAGCTGTCTCTTTCAGTCTTAACTTCTTTGAGTAAATACTGCTTTCCCAGTCTTATCTCTACTGAAACTTGTTTTGCCTTTTTGGATTTCCTCCTTCACAATCAGATTTCAGCAAGATTTGGCACTGAGTCCCCTTAAACAAGTATTACTTTTCTTATCATAAAGATTTCAAGAGGATTTTGTACTTTTCTGGACCATAATTACGTAATATTATTGCTGGCTATATAGCTTTAAATCAAGCATGTAATGAAAACAACAGTTAAAGGGCTAGGAGACTTAGTGGCAAAACCTGAATGTTGTAGCAAGTGAGCCTATTTCAAAGAACAACAAAAGAACCAATCTCGGATTCTTCTCAACTATTTGAAGACGATCTGACTCAGTTAAAATGCGTTTGGGGAAAAAAGTACAAACACATAGAAAATTTAAATTCAAGGACTAATGCAGACTGCAGAATAGTCTACCTGCCCTCAAGCCCACAGAGCAGAAGAAAACCATCAAAACCTCTCAGAAAGCATCAATTGTAACTGAATTTCTTCAGTTTTCCCCCCCCGAGACTTATGAAATAAATTCCAAACACAGCCATCAGATTAAGGGTCAGATGCTTCTTTTACGTATGGTCTAAGTATTACTTCTCTCTCTTTGCCCACCCAAGGCAAGAGCAACATCTTACCTTAACTACATGTATATACAGTTGGCCCTCGGTATCCAAGGGGGATTGGTTCCAGGACACTCCCACCTGCACAGATACCAAAATCTGCAGATGCTAAAGTGCCTCATATAATGGTGTAGTATTTGTATATAACCTAACAACCTCCTGTATACTTTAAATCATCTCTAGATTACTTATAATACCTAATACGATGTAAACGCTAGGCTAATAGTTGTAAATACAATGTAAATGCTATGTAAATAGTTGCCAGCGTGGCAAATTCAAGCTTTGCTTTTTGAAACTTTCTGGAATTTTTTTTCCAAATAACTTCGATCCATGTTTGGTTGACTCTTTAGATGCGTAGCCCGTGGATAAGGAAGGCCAACTGTATATGAAATGTTGTAAAACTACTGGATTAAAAAAACCCAACATAAGGGCTCTAATCAGAATATAAGTCTACTCCAGAGGCTGAGGGAAGGGAAGTCAGACTGAATTATACATCACTGTTACGTCAGCGTTACTTTTCCTTGCTTGCTGTGACCCTGACAAATGAGTAACAACGTATTACTACGTGCAGGTCTTACCAGACCTGCTTCTAATAGTCTTTTCATATGAAATGGGTGCTGTGATGTCCTCAGAAAGTCTGTCTTAAGCAGGTTTAACATGGTTCCTGCCCTGTTTCCTACTGTATTACTGCATTACTGTAGCGGGCATATCCAAGTCCTTTTTCATGATGCAAAGGTTGGCTTAACCTATGTTCCAATGCTGTGAATCACAGATTAGTAGGAGATCTACATTACAAAGTCTTGACACTGATTTATAAAAGGACACATTTCTTTAGGACCAATACTTCACTTCTCAACACCTTTCTTTACTCACTCATTCCTTGGTCTCAGCAGCAGCGCGCCATATGGGTATATGGAGGCAGAAGGAGGGGGAAGAAGGAGGTGGCTCTGTGAGCTGTTTTGTTTCACTTTATCTTTAAACAAAAAAGCCCAAGGCTATGAGACAATCAGCCCATAAGCACCCTCACCCCCCATCAAGGCCAAGGAGCATGATTGCCCTTCTTTCCCTCTTGTCCACACACACCTCTCAGCTGTTTTGTGAACTTCATTTCCTCTTCATGGATACCCTTGATTTGGAGAGGAGGGGATGGAGAGGGGAAGATGAGCAAAGCAAAGGAGTTGAATGAAAGGATCAGAATCTGGAGACTCCTGCTTCCCAAACCCTCACAACTTCGTAGTGATGCTTTTAAGTTTAGATGCAGTGAGACAAACATGAAAGGAATGATTAATGGAATGATTTTCAGTGCCTCCAGTGATTACATGGAGATTTACCAAGAAGAAACAACTCATAAATAACTTTGGAAAAGAGAAATGGGCCATGCAAACAACTCCCCCAAATATTTCTATAAACTTGAAGAATGAATGTAAAATTAAGTAAATGTTCAATCTATGTTTGTTGCAGTAGCACACCAGCTTTAAATAAGGCAAATTTTTGATATAGTAGAACTCTATTTTTCAAGCTATTTATACACCTCCTGATATCTACCTTTTCCAAAGAATTAATATCTGCAATTGTTTTATACCCACTTTGTAGGAATTTTTATTGAAAATAAAAAAAACCCAACAATGAGGGCTGTTGGTTAAATTCTAATCCTGGTTCTGTCATTAACTCTCTATGGCCTCAGTAAGCCACTTAACTTCTCTTGAGGTCTGTTTTTCTTACTTGAAAATGTACAGGAGGTGCTCAGAATAAAAGCAAGAACTATCATAGCACCATTCTTATATTTTACAGATGAGGAAATGGAGGCCCAGAGTCACCAAGATTACAGAAGTAGCCTGAAGGTTACAATCCTGTTTTTCACACTGGTTTAAAAGCAAAACTCATTTTCAATACAATTTTGTTTGAAAGCCTCACATACAAACACTGAAAAGTAGAATTTCTCTAGGTGAAGCTAGGTTTGGTGGTCTGGCAAACCTGGCCTCCCCAGACCTACCCCACAGAGCCCTGAGGAACAGGGCTCTACAGAGGAGAGAGTTTACAAACCACTCGACTAGATAAGCTCTTTCAGGTTTTCTCTGTTGCTAAAATTATGTTTCTGGGAGCATAATTTTATGACTTTAAATATTCATACAAGTTTGCTGTTGATTCTTTGATTTTAGAATTTATTGTTGATTATTTGAGTTGTATTTGACGCTAAATCCTCCAATTATGCTTTTCCTTAAGGACAAAATATTCCTCTGCATTAAGATGCAGTTTCTATAAGTATATTAAAACAAAAAGTAAAGGCCTTCATCTTGATTCATGATTTGTAGTTTGGGATACTAATTATGCCAATTAAAAACGACAACAACAATAAATATTTAACGGAAAGCCCTCTAGGGGCAAGGCACCGTGCTACGTGCCCTGGAGATACGAAGCTAAGAAGGCTCCAAGAGCTTATACTCTAACAGGGGAAGGCATGGAGACAACCAACAAGGCAGAGGGAGATCCACATTATGATAAAGGAAAAAAAAAGTGCAGATATAAAGGAACAGAAGTCTTGAATTGCAACTGGAGGCTTTTGAGAAGGATTCTCAGAAGAGGGAGCGTTTAGCTGTCTCCTAAGGGATAAACTGAATTTCTGATAGTTGGCGAAGCACAAAAACTAAACAGCTGGAGAAAACGGGGTAAGCAGAGGTTTGAGGTTTTGCGTCTGCAGGGCAGCATACTCGGGAGGGTGATTTGGGAGATGAGGAAAAGTAGGTCAGAACTTCTGTTCAATCTCTGAGGGATGAGAGCTAGATTAACACCTAAGAGATTTGGACTTCAAAGACAAATACAGCATCAGCTAAGATGTCTGAGCTGGTAAATCACAACTTAATTTCTATTTTAGGAAGGTACCTCTGGTAGGCAGGTAAACGGTGCAGTAAAGACTGGAGAATGGGAGAGTGGAGACCTCCACAGGTAGGGGCTGGGGGGCTGGTTCCAGCAATCTCCTTCCCAGGCTCCTCCCCCCTCAGTGCACTCTTTAAAAAAACTGGCGCTCCTTAATGCCTTCTACCCTTTAGTTCTGTACACTCCTCTGTTCCCATGGATTCGACAAGTATGTTTATGCTAAAGACTTCCAAATCAATACCCAGAGCCTGGATCTCCAGTTTTCTTCAAAATGACCTGGCAATCGTTAGTTTTCAGCAAATCTTGTAAATACGGCTGTTTTTCTGAAAATACACTTGGAACCATCTATCTTCATCAGAGCTACCTCACAAGCCTGAGTTCTCAGCAAATCTCTCCTGAGCCCCCTGGCTGCGGCACAGGCACTACACACAGCGCATCTCACGCTGAAGTGCCCTTCTGCTTTTACACACTGATGGCCACGTTAGAAACCTAGGTTGCTCCTTTTCCTTCACATGGATTTCCTCACCAAACCCTACTTTCGCATTATGGCTGGCTCGGATTGCTGCAACTGCCTCTCCTGGTCTTATTTCACTGCTTTTCTTTTTTCCCCCTTCTCAGAGCTTACAAAATGAGCTTTTGAAACAAC